TCGGAAACACAAGGTACCTCCTCCTCCTTCTCCTTTGATTCCGATCATCTTAATTGGTTGCATGATGAGTGGATCTCTCTAAACAGGTCTCCCTCAGAGGCGCAAGCAGTGAGGAGATGTCAAGAGACGCTTTGCTTGCTAATGTCTCACAACAAAGGGAGCTTCGTAATTACGCGAGACGTGCTAACTCTGCTGCTATTTTCATTCAGGTTTTACTCTCTTTTCTGCTTTATTTAGTTCTCAAGTTGGAATCTTTTGGATGTTATTTGTAGTTTAATTGGACAAAGGGATACACTTTTTTTTTTAATTGTTGTAGAGAGTTTGGAGATCATACATTGTGAGAAAGAAAGCAGCTTTTGAGATTCAGGAAGAGTGGGAGGGTTCACTGAGTATCCATTCTGATACACTGAGTAAAATTTGGGTGTCAAGTAGAGTGTTGAGACCTTTCCTCTTCTTTATCAGATCTTTGTGTGTCCAACATCAGAAGATAGAGGCAAGAGATGTACAGTGTATGCAGACTTGTTTTAAGATTCTGTTGGAAAGCATCAACTCTAATGGTATATGATTGCTTTTTTTTCCTTGGCTTTTGGTTTGTTGGTCTTGCAAATTAGAACAGATATAAATCAGAGATTGTCTTTTGCAGATCAAGGGTACAACTTTTGCTCACTAGCAGTTGGTACATTTGAAGAGAGCAAAACATGGGTCTGTCAAACACGAAGACTTGTATGTCTCTGCTCTTTCCTTCTCACGGAGTGTAGTTATTCAAGGACCAAAGATGTTCTTGGTGTCAGTGCCCTTTTACTACGCATCCTTATTGTTTTAACTGATCCCAAAAGCTGGAAGATTATCTCAAAAGAAAACTTTGAAGATGCAGAAACTGCTGGGAAAACGATCGTTCAGTTTCTAGGGAGCTCTAAAAGTGGATATTACACAGCAGTTAGAAGATATATCAAGGCATTAACCAAAAATACGGATGAGAGACTGTTGATTACTACAAGTGCAGTAACTTTGGCTCTACGACCATTCCATGCGAGACAGCCTGCTTTTGTTGATGACAATCAACCAGACACCAATTTGGCTGTTGAAGAATATGTTACTCTGATACTGACGATTCCTCGACTAGTGTTCTGCCTTCCAAGCGCTCTCATACGTGCACTGAAGCACAAGAGCATACTAATGCCAAGCTTCCATACTATATTGGTAAGTCCCATATTAAATTTGTTAGAGCAAATAATTTATTTTAAAAAGTATCAAAAGAAAATGCATAGAGACGTTGTTTTAAGCTCTGTAACCTTTTTGGATGAACCCTTTGCTTTTTACCAAACAATCGAAGAACTTATCAAGTGTGGCAGGTGACAACAGATTTTGAGGGACAAATTGTTAACCATAATATCGGAAATCGAGCGTTCAGAGAAGCAGAGCTGCACTACGGAGATTCCTTCTGCTGGATGGGCTATGGGGAACATCATATCCCTGGCAACAGTTAGTGAAAACGATTTTATGGACACACAAGAATCCAATCCAGAGATGTTTTATGTCTTGTATGTTCATGTTATTGTGACCCTCGCCGAGAATCTCTTGTCTCAAGTTGTAAAGGTTGGAACTCAGGATACTCATCTTGAGTTCGAGGCCACACCGGATGAGACTGAGAAAGGAAAAAGTTCTGTAAAGATTTCGTTTGTGGAATTGCTTCGACCCGTGTGTCAACAATGGCATCTCGCAAAACTGTTGGCAGCTTCTGGGAAGGAAACTCGTGTTATAGGAAATAAAGATTCATCAACGAGTATTAAGAAAGGATCAGAAACATTAGAATTGTTTGACATTGCACGATTCTATTCATGCATGTTGAGAATCTTCTGTGTGCTGAATCCTGTTGTAGGGCCTTTGCCTGTCCTTAATATGTTATCCTTCTGTCCTGGATACATTGTCTCTTTGTGGAGCTCTCTAGAGAGTGTCCTACTCCCTGAAGATGGCTGCACTGCTGACGATTCATCTCATAAACCTGTTAAAGCTTCTTATAATACAAGAAGTCCTTCTGAGAAGAAACTGAAGCATCTTAAGAATGACGGAGTCAACAAGTGGGTGAATGTGCTTAACAAGTTCTCTGGTAAATCACCGGGGCCGCGGGAACATGTGGAGAGTACTAGTGATCAGCCAGGATCAAGCCAAGCTAATGAGTCAACCGATGATGGGTGGGATGTGCAAACGCTTAGGGGTGGTCCTGTAGGTATCTCTAAAGATGTCTCATGTCTGCTTCATCTATTTTGTGCAACCTATGCGCATTTACTCGTGGTTCTTGATGACATACAGTTCTATGAAAAGCAGGTAATATCAACAATATGGTTTCCTGCAGCTTGTATGCTATTAGTCTGATATTTACTAGAGGTTTGTTTTGGTATGATATAGGTCCCCTTTACGCTAGAGAAACAACGGAGAATTGCGTCAGTTCTTAACACACTCGTGTACAATGGATTATTGCGAGGCACAGGTCCTGAGAATAGACAACTTATGGATTCTGCTATCAGATGTTTGCATCTATTGTATGAAAGAGATTGCAGGCACCCTTTTTGCCCTTCTGCGCTATGGCTCTCACCTGGTAGAACTAGTAGACCTCCAATTGCATTTGCTGCCAGAACTCATGAGGCTGTACCAGCCAGTGATCTCTTTTCTTCTCCAAGCATGGGTTCTGTTATAACAATTACTCCGCATGTCTTTCCATTTGAAGAAAGGTACAGCCTATTTATGTCCTTTTTGTGCTACAATGACTCCTTACTAACTATTACCGGTTTCATTTTTCACTATCTTTTAAATGATGTTTATTTATATCCTTTGTTATCCCTGCAGGGTCCATGTGTTTAGAGAGTTTATAAGCATGGATAAAGCTTCAAGGAAAATGGCTGGCGAAGTGGATGCACCTGGCGCGAGGTCAATAGGGATAGTTGTTCGTCGAGGTCATGTGGTTGAAGATGGATTTCGACAACTGAACTCTATTGGTAGCAGGCTAAAATCATCCATTAATGTCTCGTTTATGAATGAGTCTGGCCTTCCTGAAGCTGGCCTAGACTATGGTGGGCTTTCAAAAGAATTTCTGACGGACATAACAAAAGCAGCTTTTGCTTCTGAGTAAGCTCTTCTGTGCAATACTTTATTCTAATCCATTTTTTTACTTTCCCAGTGGGTTAACTTTTGTTTTCATTGGCATGTCCATCCTATTCTTTTTCACAAGGTATGGGTTATTCTCGCAAACCACTACTTCAGATAGGTTACTTGTTCCTAGCCCATCTGCTCGGTACCTTGAGAACGGGATTCAGATGATTGAGTTTCTTGGAAGAATTGTTGGAAAAGCTCTATACGAAGGAATACTTCTGGATTACTCTTTTTCACATGTTTTCATCCAGAAGCTATTGGGACGTTATAGCTTTATTGATGAACTCTCAGGGCTTGATCCGGAGCTCTACAGAAACCTTATGTATATCAAGGTAAAAACCATCGCAGGTGATAAATCTATCACCTCATAGAACAAAACTCAATCTTGCATTAAGTATAACAAGAGTGGTTTTCTGAGATCAATGACTCTTGTTTGTTGTATGCAGCAATATGAGGGTGATTTACAGGAACTCTGTTTGGATTTCACAGTCACTGAAGAGTATTGCGGAAAAATGAGCATAATTGAGCTCAAACCCGGTGGGAAGGATATCTCAGTAACGAATGAGAACAAAATGCAATATATTCATGCAATGGCCGATTATAAACTCAACCGGCAGGTCTCGTCTCTTTTTTCGTGGGTTTAATTAAGCTCAATTATCTCGCAAAACAAATATTACAGAATGACATCATGTTGACCTATGTCTTCAATGCAGATTGTGCCCTTTTCAAATGCATTTTACAGAGGATTAACCGACCTTATATCTCCTGCTTGGTTGAAACTGTTTAACGCCCATGAATTTAATCAGGTAGGTGGCTTTACTGTAATACTGTATAGGGTTTTTTCTTTTCTTGCACAGAGCTATTTTCTTACGTAAATGACTTTGTGCAGTTACTTTCTGGAGGAAACCATGATATCGATGTTGATGACCTTAGACGGAATACAAAATACACTGGTGGTTACACTGATAGCAGTCGAACAATCAAAATCTTCTGGGAGGTAATGGCTCAGATTCAGAAGCCCTGATCTCTCCTCTTTCTTCCTAATTTTTGACATACGCAGAGAGTTTTGCTCTACTTGTTTCATTTCTCTCTGGGATTCCTGCCGCAGGTCATGAAAGGTTTTGAACCGAGTGAACGTTGCTTGCTCCTTAAGTTTGTGACTAGTTGTTCTCGAGCACCACTCCTTGGTTTCAAATACTTACAGCCAACCTTCATCATCCATAAAGTTTGTTTTAAAACTTTAGCTTCTTTATATATTCATGTGAAATTCTCTGCTTTGGTAGTTTTTTCCTTACACTTGTTCTTTTACATATGAAGGTTTCTTGTGATACCTCTCTTTGGGCTGCTATTGGAGGACAAGATGTAGAAAGGCTTCCATCTGCTTCTACGTGCTACAATACTCTTAAGGTTGAGTTTCAATTGTCATGTTGTCTACTTGCTAACATTCATGTACCTGTTTTTGTTTTAATATTTTCTTTGTTGATTGGCTCAGCTTCCAACGTATAAACGAGCAAGCACTATGAGGGAGAAACTATTGTACGCAATTACATCAAATGCAGGATTTGAACTCTCCTAGAGTCTAGAGACCTCTGACCAGGTAGTTATCCGGTGTTGCAGCTAAGAGTTTTATTCTTACTCTAGGGCTTTTGCAAATATATATGCCTTGTTAGTTATATCGCTAGGGCTGATGCAAATATTGTGTTTAGTTTGTCTTAAGATATCGGGAACATGGTGCTTCTTGGTAGTAGTATACGATAATTAACCACGCAGATATGTTTAAAGGGACATATTTGATGTTCACATATGAGTAAACTTGACATATTTGTAGCTATACCAAAATTACTGCTGTTATAAAATAATAAAAATGCTCTAGAGATAGATCAAGAACACAAATTACCAAAGACCGTGATCGTCTTTAACAAAGCTTGTATCTATTAACGCATCACACAAAACAAAATGGTAGTTTCATCCACTCTCACACACACGCTGTCTCTCTTATTTTTTAGTTTTTAGAGTCAGATACTTCACACACACACACATCCCTAGAAAGAGAGAGTGATAAGGGTAGCTATTTGTAGGTATACAATTTGAATTCATTGAGATGGAATTTAATTCAAGAGATTAGAGAAATCCCTTGACTCAATAGTTGACCAGCCAACAGCTCGTACACGGCCTCTGTGGGATGAAATCCATCCCAAAACACGTACCCTGTGGCATTTGAACACGTTCCCAAGGATAGAGAGTTGCAAAGGAACGATGTCTCTACTGTTCCTGTTCCACAGCACGCCCTTTTTGTTTCAAAGAATCCTGTAATTAGATGCAGTTTAGATAAGATAAAAATGGTAATGGTATCTTGTTAGTTGCTAATTACATTTAATTATCCTGTATATAGCCAATGGTATCATGGCTTTAAGCTTAATAAGTATTCTTCCTGTATATGCAGAGTCATACCATTATCATAAGGGTTGGTGATGATGTCCATGAGAGGTTGGTAGGCGTTAAAGGCGACAAGCTTGAGGCCTGAGTGTCGTTTCATCAATGTCTGAGTTGTGGATTCAAGTTTGGTGTTGAACATGACAGCATCATTGTTTAGCCTCTCGACACAACTCTTGTTTCCTGCACCGAAAAGAGTGATAGCTGCAGGCAAGCAACCCATTGGCGGTAACGATATCACTCCAATTCTCCTTGCTCCTAGTTCATACAGATTCTGTTACAAGCGACAGTATAGTTTTTGTTGTTGACGCACACAAAAAATGGTAAATAACTGAAACGAGTTGTTTGTTTCTTGTAAATTTGCAAATTTCATATGATTGCCTAAGTTTTAAAGTTCGTTAGTAAACTTAGTAGTACCTGGATGAACTCTGAGTAAGATCGCATGAGAATATCAGAGAACTGTTCAGGTGTATTTAGGATGTTGAGCAGTGGATTGATGTAATAGTTCTGAAGAAAGTCGCTAGATCCTGCACTCAAAATATGGATAGATTTAGAGAACATAGTGCGTGCTCTCTCCCTCCCTATCATGCTCCTCACTCTGTTTTGATACGTCCTGTAATAGCTAAGCTGTCTTGTTAAGGGGATTGCGCCCTGCAAAAAGTAAGAGCAAAGCCTTATGGATCATTTCATGGGTGTGTGTGTGTTGATGTATTAGTGCGTTAGTCTTCCTTACAAATGGAACAGATGTGGCATCATAGTATCCTGAAGATGCTGATGCAAAGTTGGCACCAATCAAGAAATCATCGTTTCTTGCTTCTCGGCTTAGGAACGCAGGTGGGTAGGAAGAGAATCCAAGGTACTCAGCTACGCACAAGTAGGAAGATAAAACCAATGAGAGTTAGGGAGAGAGTGTATCAGAGAGTGATGTGGTTTGTGAATAAAAGTTTACCTGAGAAATCTACAGCGAGTTTTCCGTTGCAGAATCTTCCGGTGGGTGTTTGGTTGGTGAAGTCTCTGCCATAAGGAGGGAAGTTTGATTTAACAATGCTGAGTAAGTTATTGTTGTTGCCAACGTCAACAATGGAGTCACCAAAGATTATGAGTGCAGGAACAATGGCTCCTTTGGATTTGTAGAAGAAACAAGAAACCAGTAGAAGAACCCAAAACGCTGAAACCCTCATCTCTTTCATTCTTTCTCCTTCTTGTCTAATGCAACCAGACCGTTAGAGAGAGGGAGATAGCTAGTTATTATTAGTGGGAAAGAAAATGGAGAGTTGAGAATATGATGAATGTCATACAAAGATAATCATTCCTATCATGCTTCTTTTTAAGATAAAAGAAAAAGTATTTGTTAGTGCAATAGAGTAGGTGGAAACTGTATGAGGCCAATCTCTTTGGTCATTGATCCTGGAGTATGTGCAACAATACTATGGGAAATGCAACGTAAGTCTTGCTCTGTTCAATCTGAATCTCAAACTGAACATATAATCTTTTGATTATTTGATTGCGCAGTTCTTGATTAACATAAGTTGTTTCTTGTAGAACCGTTGGAGTCATAAATAAACGTTCTTGGTAAGAGATGATGAAAACAAAGTTGAATAATGGCAAAAATAGCATTATAAACAAAGTGTGACCTCCACCAACTTACTGTTGTGGTTATGATAATGTCTCTGGTAATGTGGCATCCACTTTGCGCATCTCAAAGATTGTGTTTTATATCTTTTTCTGTTTTTTTTTTTGTCAACATCTCTTTTTTCTGTTAGGAAATTATGTCAACTAACCATTAAAAAAACAAAAGCAATAACTAACCAAAATTTATCCCTCTCTTCTACTTCTTCCTATCTCTCTCTTCTCCTCTCTCTGTAATACTAATTAAATTTTTTTTTTGGTTATTGTACAAATAACCCATTTCTGTTATCCTTCAAAGATTGTGGTTTATTTTCCCTTTTATACCATCATCGTTGTTTTCCGTATTTTATTTGTTATATTCAAAAGCTTGCAAAACTTCAATCAAAAGGAAGGATTTGAGCCATAGCACCACTCAATTTTACTACTTGACATAAGATAAGACCGATACTGTGAGAATTAGGCTATATATGTGGCCTATAAACATGAATAAATGGGCTGATTCTTTTGTAATTTAGAGAAAAACAATATTTCTACAGAAAAGAGTTCAATGAATTTTGTGTCTAAATTGTTTAAAAAAAATTGTATCAAATTCATCAACTTTGTGCAGGTGTTTTAAGTTTTTAGATCTGTTTCGCTCAAAAATTTCTATGTTCAATTTAGATTGGATTTTTATATTCAAAAATTACTCTATAATTTTTAAAAATAATTATACGTTCAAAATATTTAAATTGTTTTAATTATTTTAAAGTAAAAACTACAAAATATCCATAAATATTCGAATACATGCCAAAATATCCCAAAACACCATATAAAATTTACATAAAATTTTTGAAAACTTAAAAATATCTAAATTCTTCATACATGGATACAAACAAGCTAGTTAACTTCGAATTTTTAGATACCAATTTAAATGTTGATTATTAATTGATATCTAAAGTTCATGTTTAGTGACACAATGGTAGGTGATCTAAGGTTACTAGTTCAAGTCTATTTGAGAGAGATGAAAATGTAATATTATCAACACCTAGTTTCAGATATTAGAGGAGCTTATGACCCCAATGTTTGGGAATTTTTGAATAATGAAATAATCTAATATTGAAAGCTTCAGACTTATTTTATGTGATTGAAACAGTTAAGCTATAGAATAAAAAATGTCATTAAAAAGACACCAAGTGTCCAATTATATACAACCATCAGACTTTTTACTGTTAAAACTTTATAATTTCAAATAATAGAAAGGATTTTTGAACTAAAAATCATGAAAACTGACTTTTAGAAAAACAAATAAGCTAAAGAATAAAATTAGTTATTTTGGCTTTGAAAATTTTAATGAAAGTTTTTAAAACTATAGATAGTTTAAAATTCACTGGAAATAAATTGACATTAGAAACTTTTTTTTTTGAGCAAACATAAGTTTATTTCAACTTAAAAGGTTTTACACTCCCAAAGGGGAGGAGGGAACAACAGCAGTAGCCAGAGCCGACTTAGCAATACAATCAGCCACAACATTTTGGAGCCGAGGAACAAAGCAAAAGGAAACATACTCAAAATAGGTAGAAAAATGATAGATGTCAAACAGAATTCCAAACAATCCAGGTCTTGAATCCTTCCCTTTCAACAGAGTGATGAGAGTGAGAGAATCAGACCGAATCACCAGTGACTTCATGTTTGAGAATGCAGCCGTCATGACTGCCAAACGAACTGCGAGGGCCTCAGCCATTAACGCAGAAGATACCAAATTCCGAGACTCAGCTAGATGAGGAATATGTTCGCGAAATGGTGCATCGCTAAAAACTGCTCCCAGGCCACAAGTCTCAGTCTGAGCGTCCCACGCCGCGTCCACATTGCACGTAGGTACAGCAGAATCATGGAGAAGCGGGGGAGATAGACCTCTTTGACCGTAATGGTCGGGGTCGTGTCAAGGCCTTGAGCATTTTGCCATTCTACCGCATCGCGGATAGCCTTAGTAGCGATCTCCATAGCGGAGAAAGTTCTGTTCTCAAAACAGAGATGATTTCGGGCCTTCCACAGGTTCCAGAGAACCCACGGCCAGAGTGGTATTACAACACCAAAAGGGGGGAGATTTCGAGCCAATAATAAGGATGAGAGGAGTTGATAGAGAGTGAGGGTGTTATTGAGCGTAGAAACGTCAATACCAAGCAAATCCCAGACTTGTACTGCAACCGGACAACGAACAAAAACATGGATGTCATCCTCAACACCATTGCAGGTTTTACATGGGAAGGAGGCAATCCCTCTACTTGTCAAGTTCTCGCTGACTAGGATAGCTTTCCTAGCCACTCTCCAAAGGAAATCCTTGATCTTTGGCCCTGTTTTAAGGTTCCAAATATTTTTCATTCAATCAATGGGCTGGGGAGAGAGAGATTCCGCTGTACCCAACACTATAACCCGAGCGAGTGTTATAAACTCCTGACTTATCTGGTAACCACGCCAGATGATCCAGTGATGGAGCCGAGCTAGTGAAAATCTTCAGTATCTGGTTCTCATACTGCGGTAAGTAGTGTCTTATCTTGTCTACGTCCCACTGGTTAGTGATCGGACATAGCAGCGAGCTTACTCTAAGATCAATGGAGTTCAAAGTCGGGGGGCCGAATGGAGACTGGGGTGATATGCAACTCAACCAAGGGTCTTGCCAGACCCTGATGCTTTCTCCATTCCCCACAATCCAACCGAGACCTTTACGAAGTAAATCCCGTCCCACCAAAATACTACGCCATCCATGAGACGCTACAGACGGTGCAGAGCAGTCCATGAAGGAGGAATTCCAAGCATATTTGCCCAGTAAAACCCGAGCAACCAAGGGCGATGAGTCTGTAAGAGTGGTTTCAGCCTCTTAGACAAGATTTTTGCTATTATCTTGTAATGTGTAGTGCAGAGGGCGATGGGTCTGTAATCGGAGACAGCTCGTGGACCAGTGATCTTGGGAATGAGTCTGATATGTGTCTCATTATGCTGTGGGTGAAGCGTATCAGAGATGAAGAACTGTTTGATATCCCGACACACATCCTCAGCAACAATATGCCAATAGACCTGATAAAACTTTGCGGAAAAACCATTTGGTCCCGGGGCTTTTCCACCATTTATCGACATAACTGCTTGATGAATCTCCAAATCAGTAGGAATGGTGGTTAAGAATTCGTTCATCTCATCGGAGACCCTAGCAGAGAGAATATTTGTAAGCGCAGAGAAATCATCGTTGCTGGTGGTTGTGAATATGTCCTCAAAATACTCAGCTATGACAGCTGCGATTTGTGGCTCCTCATGGACTTCTCTGCCATCTTTATTCTCTATCACAGAGAACGAGTTGATCAATCTACGTTGTCGAGTTATGGCATGGAAGAAACCGGTGTTACGATCCCCCTCCTTGAGCCATTGGATTCTGCTACGCTGTAGCCAAAATTGTTCTTCTTCCTTATAAGCCAAACTCAGCGCTGCAGTAAGTCTATCGATGTGATGAGTATCCGGAGTAGCAGCAGAGAGGGCTGTTTCCAGATCCTCCTGAGTTTTAGCTATAAGGAGATTACTCTTTTCATTTCGCTCCTTTGCCCACTTAATAATACTTCTTCGGCAGGAATTAAGCTTGTCAATTACGGAAGCCAGAGGTGAATGGTTCCAAGCATCCTCAACGACAACATCGATCTCAGGGTTATCCGTTAAGGATCTGTTAAATCTTAACATGCCACGTTTTGGAGGGCCTTTTTTCCCGAAGTAAGTTATTAGGGGTCGATGGTCGGAGCCCTCGAACCTCAAATAGCTGCATCTCCCCATTGGAAACCGCTCGCTCCAAGCACAATTAACCAGTGATCTATCGAGTCGAGATCGAATGAAATGAGAGTAGCGGTTACCTCTCCACGAGAGCTTATTACCAGAATGTTTCAAGTCCCAGAGGCCGTTTTGGGAAACAAAGGACCTAAAGGCTGTGAACAAACCTTCCCAACGTAATGGGCCTCCAACCTTTTCAGAGTTGTCTAGAATCTCGTTAAAATCACCAGATAAAAGCCACGGAGAATCCCTACCCAAACCGACTTGTGAGAGCTTAGTCCAAAATGCAGATCGATTTTCTGCTGCAGGGGCTCCATAGACGAAGGAAATAAACGAGGAGAAACCCTTGTATGTAACCTCAGTGTCGATCAGATTGGGTATAGATTCCAGTACTTTTATACTAACTGAATCCTTCCATAATAAGGCCAGGCCTCCACTCAAACCAATAGGGGGCAGAGAGAAGTAATTTGAATAATGGAAATCCTTTGTCTTCTTTTTGATATACTCATCATCATTTTTGGTTTCCATGAGAAACATTATATCTGGGGATTTTTTACGATAGAATTCCCGTAGACGACGAATTGTGAAGGGGTTTCCCAAACCTTGACAATTCCAAGACATGATAACTAAGGAAGAGGAGGAGGCGGGGGCCGAAAATCCGAACCCCCTCTCCTTGAAGAGTTACGAGAAGAGTCACTAGTAGTTGCCTTATTACAAGGTATAGAATTATTATCAGTACACTGTCTCTTGCGAGAAGGATTTAAAGCTCTTGAGACCATCACAGTCTTGAGTTTAACTCCTGGCAGGGTAGCTTTTGAGCTTCTCTTGACAGTTGTTTTTGGGTTAGCTTTTGTAACCTTCCTTTTTCCTGCAGTCTTTGAGGAAGGAGGTTGAGCAGTTCTACCCTTGAAATTACTAGGTCCAGCTTCATTGGCATCACTCAGTTCAAGAGTAGCTGGTATACGAGATTGTTGTGAAGAGCCTATATTAAACCCAGGGCTGAAGTGTTGTTGGTTCTCCAAACCATCATACTGGATATTCACGTCGAGGAGCCTATCTGAGTTTAAACTTGAGTCAGGTATAGGGGAGATGTGAGTGCATAAGTTTGGTTCCGCAATTCTCTCTAGAGCAGGTCGCCTCTCTCGTGAATCATGGCCTGAGGATCTTCCCGAAGAACCCCTCTCAATTGGGTATTGAAGTCTTTCACGTAAGTTACGAGGAGAGGGAGTATGTGAAAGCTGAGACTCAGTAGACTGGATAGCCACTGCTCTATTTATCTTGATACGGGGAGAATCATCCACCTGAATATCATGTTGTCTGATCACAACTCCGCTTGCAAGGACTCTCGAATCCGTCTTATTTGACAGGCGCCCATTGGTTTGTCCTACTGCTCGATAATGAGAGGATCCTCTCTCCTCCACACTCATGTGTTGAGGTACTTCAGAGTAACTAGGCCCGCGGGAGAAATCTCTATGAGCAGAGTAGTTGCGTCGGTATTGTTGGTCCCCATCGTGAACAGAATTATCTCTGTAATCTGAATTCGGGCGTTTGCACCCCCTTCTGTCATCATGTCTTCTTTTATCAGCTTCAATACGGTGAAGAGCCAAGCGTTGCGTAATACCCAATTTACGGTCCTTGACGTGAGGAGTATTTCTATCACGGGATGGGCAGTTAACTTCCTCATGAAGAAGAGAGAAGCAAGTGAAACAATGCTTTTCGATCTTGGTATACTCAAATTCCACAGATAACACTTCCTCTGAAGGCAGTTGGATTCCATGTCCATAACAAGGGGCTGGAGTCCATCGACTTCAACCCTTACCTTAGCCTCTTCAATAACTTGGCCATGAAGAGAGCCAATCTCCTCTCCTATAGTTTTAATAGTCTTCTCATCCCAGAAATGAAGAGGGAGATCATGGATTCTAATCCAGAATGAGATCTTGGAGGGGAAACTTTCAGAAATTACGGGTTCCCATTTTTGGAGGATAAGCATCCATCTTTTGTAGTGATAGGGACCCTTGAGGAGCACACGTTCCAGATCCTCTGCAGATTGGAAGCGCATTTGAAACTTCTCCGGGCCCAACTCTCTTCCTTCAACTCTACCTTCCAGGTTCCAGATCTGAGGGAGAAAATCAATAACATTCCGAGTTCGCTGAAGGATGGGATTAGTAACTCTACCAATGAGAGTAAGCTTATTTGCGGCAATTAGGTCATTATTATCACTTGCAGGGATTCGAAGAGGGGCTCGCTTAGGCTGAGTAGGAGCGGCGGTCCATTTCCCTTTTTCCGAACGGGAGAGGCGGTGAGCCATAACTTGCTTTCTCAGTATGAAACACCGTGAGATAAAACCGTTGGAAGTTCGTTAGGGCGAGAGGGAGGTTATTACAACCAAGTGAGAGACTATGAGCAGCTAATAAATGTTGTTCGTTGCAATAAATTTGAACAGAGGATCAAGACGGGGTTGTTGGTATAGCGAAGGAGCAGTAATGGCACTGAAGAGGTAGAAGGGTAATGCTTAGATCTGTACTGACAGCCCAATAACAGAGATGGACCGAACTAGGAACTGGAATATAACTCCAGGAGGAGCCATTCTACGGTGAAGAATGGCCATATTCCGGTAACGGCGGTCCCTCCGACCCGGGTCGGGGGAAGAACCCGGCGGATAAAGAAGCAGAGTCGCGGATGGACCGATGGATAAACCCGCGAAGGGTAAGAATTCAAAAAGCAAAAGGGATGTGCAGACTGGTTTTAGCCAAAAACGGTAAAAGGAGGGTGGTAAAAGTAAAACCGTGGGAAGTAATACTAATGGGTAATAACCAGTATCGAACTAAGTGCCTGGGAGCGTTTTCTTTTTCTTATGTGGTAGGAGAAGCGGTTTTGACATTAGAAACTTCAGATCTAAATTAAAGTCTAACAGCCACTAAAATCAAAACACCAATCAATCAGATCGTAAACTGAAATTAGTGATGGAAATTGGTAACAAATATTAAACTAAATTGTAAAAAAAAAAAGAACGTTGGACATTTCTGAGATAGATTTAGGTAAACAAGAAATTTTGGAAGATAAATTGCAGACTATTGATGTATGTGTTGATGTCAGTGATGTCTTAAAAAAAAAAAAAAAAGACGAGCACTTATGATTTTTTACAATGGTGTAGATATCCTTTCTATTCTTCCACAGTCTCTCATTATCTCAAATATTAAGATATGACTTATCACACACTGAAGAATGGCCATATTCCGGTAACGGCGGTCCCTCCGACCCGGGTCGGGGGGAGAACCCGACGGTTAAAGAAGCAGAGTAGCGGATGGACCGATGGATAAACCCGCGAAGGGTAAGAATTCAAAAAGCAAAAGGGATGTGCAGACTGGTTTTAGCCAAAAACGGTAAAAGGAGGGTGGTAAAAGTAAAACCGTGGGAAGTAATACTAATGGGTAATAACCAGTATCGAACTAAGTGCCTGGGAGCGTTTTCTTTTTCTTATGTGGTAGGAGAAGCGGTTTTGACATTAGAAACTTTAGATCTAAATTAAAGTCTAACAGCCACTAAAATCAAAACACCAATCAATCAGATCGTAAACTGAAATTAGTGATGGAAATTGGTAACAAATATTAAACTAAATTGTAAAAAAAAGAACGTTGGACATTTTTGAGATAAATTTAGGTAAACAAAAAATTTTGGAAGATAAATTGCAGACTATTGATGTATGTGTTGATGTCAGTGATGTCTTAAAAAAAAGACGAGCACTTATGATTTTTTACAATGGTGTAGATATTCTTTCTATTCTTCCACAGTCTCTCATTATCTCAAATGTTAAGATATGACTTATCACACACTGAAAACGGATGATAATTGTGCAATCTTTTCTTCGAGTAATCCGCATTTTATCCTTGACAATTCTCACTCTCAACATTTCGAATAGAAAATGGATTAAAACATTATTAAAACATTCTAAGGTTTTCACTTTCAAGTAGTAATTTTTCATCCTTTACTAATTATTTTAAGCTAACGTACTTTGATAAACTATATATTTGATGGTTACAAGATTTTGGAAATTTATTTTTTATCTCAACAACAGAAACACAACTATGGTGTTGGATTCAATCATGTGTCAAGAATTTTTTTTTTTTTTTTTTTTTTTTTGGTAAACATGTTAAAATTAATACCAATTTTTCAGTTTTTTACAGCATACGAAGAAGACAAGAAACAGAGCAACATAAATAAATCTAACAGAGACTCCGACCAAACATTACAGGACCTATCTACAAGAGTAACAGCAGCATCAAGAAAGAAACAACAGAGGCCGAACATTCGCTTGCCACAGAATTGAACCCACAGCTAAAACGAGAGATTGGACCCAGTAATTTTGGCCTCCCCGGTGACCAACTCTTAAAGATCGGATTCTCAAAAACAGCTTGCTAAGTCCACCTAAGCCACGGCCAAACAAGAGCAAACCGCTACACTCGTGACCAAGGTCACCGGAATAAAAAAGGTCGAGCTTTATTTGGAGAGGACGCACCCACGAGCCGCCACACGCCATCGAACCTGCACCAAGACGACAGAAACAGCAACCTACACCCTAAAGTGCGGTGGACTCGAGGAAGCCCTAGATCAAACCAAGAATCATGCTGCTTCAGCACGCGCCGCCACCGAGAAGCCTAACCGCAGTTGACAAGACCCATAGCTATTCTCCTCGCACACGCCCCGACGACGGAGAACCCGCCGTTGATCAAACTGGCTTGGAAACAACAACAACTCAGAGAGGCTTCCGTGAGAGAGGTTGACCGGCCCAAAGACACACCAACGGAGACACACGCCAGACAAGAAGAAGAAGCACCGCAGCTCCACCGCCTGAAGGACCCCAAGACGCATCCAGCCAAGCGAACCCATTCACCCAATGGAGAAGAACGAACAGAGAAAGCAGAAGAGGAAGGAGATAGATCTCGCTACCAAAGTCCCAATTTGACACCAGACCGCAACCTCTACCACTCCACGCGCCCAGAGGAACCACTCATCCATTCCTCCGCCATGCTTCTCCAGAGATCCAAGACCGACGCGCCAGATCTAGCCCGCGCGGAGGCGCAAAGAATCAGATCTACCGGGAAAGGAAGCAGAGAGGAGGACGGAGAGGAGAGGCGAAGGGAAAATAAACAAGGGGGGGCACCGGCGACTACAGAGGAGGAGCAAGCGCCGCCGGCAACCCTAGCACAATGAAAAAGGGGTTTCTCTAGAAAGGATTTTAGAAAGAGGTTATTTTTCGTGTTCGTTATGTTCTACAGGTTCATGTGTCAAGAATTTATCCTGCAACATATTAAATATGGCTTGAATTTTCGGTCATAACAATTTATGGTTGAACTCTTCCTGCCTCATTAAATCTCAGCAAAATATACCTTCATCAATTTCAAAAGTTACTCACCTACTTTGAAATCTAAAATTGTTGAATCCATGAGTTTTTCAAAGAATATTTCTATGTGTTTTGATGGGGTATCAAAAACATGAATTTCGTGCTTTTTAAACACTGATAATTTTATTGCTTACTGATTTTAAAATTCATTATTTATGTCTTGAACAATTTGTTTGGCTAGGATTTGAAAACTTCCAATTATGTTTCGAAGATGTGTTTGAGCATCTCAATTTATTTTACTGATCGGTGACATCTATGAGAAATCATTTTTAAGAATTCTCAACTTGTTATCTCGTTAATCGAGACCATTAATTCATGTTTTTTTTTACATCTACCATTAATTCATGTTTATAAGTCATCATTGTTATTTTCTTATATCTTGTGATTATATTCAATAATTTACAAATAAAAAAGAATAGGCCATGAAATTTATCTACTTGACATATGGCCTAATTGTGTAAATTAGGAAATGAGTTAATTAATATGTGATTATAAGCATGAGTTAATGAGCTGGTTTATTTTTGGAAAAAAAAATTGACAATTATTTCTATAATTTAGAAAACCAAAATTGTATATACTAAAATCGGTCAAAACATTCTGATTAGGCCATATTCGTTTAAGGATCAGACAATGAAAATAATTAAATGAAATTGTGTTTGATTAAGCCGAATTCGATTAAAGATGAGACAATGAAAATAATTATCTGAGACTGTATTTATTTTTAAAAACAAAAATTGTATCAAATTCATAAATTTTTGCAGGTATTTTTTATTTCTGGATCAGTTTAGCTCAAAAGTTATATGTTCAGTTTGCATTGGATTTTATTTTAGATTGAAAACTACTCTATAATTGTCTAAAAAAATATTTAAAATGATTGAATTATCCAAAATCTAGGAAAAACTACACAAAATACCCATATATATTCGAGTACATGCCAAAAATAGCCAAAACATATAAAATGTACATAGCATTTTTTGAAATTATTTAGAATATGTAATTTATTCAAATTAGGTGAAAATTAACTTCGGTTTTGTTTTGAAATTAGAGCAAGTTTATGACCCCCCCCCCAATACTGGTGAATATTTTGAATAGTGAATTACACTAAACCGGAATTAGTGCCGGAAACTGGTAACCAAAATTAAACCGAACCGTAAAAAAAAAAGGAAATTTCCTTCTTCTTTTTTTTCTCGTCGTCACTTGAAAAAGGAAAATTGGGTAAAAGCTCGAGTCTTTATAAGTGATCGTGCACCCCAACAAACAATAGATCAAACAATTTACTCTTCCTCTTCCTTCTCTCACTCGCGGATTCACACCTTACACGATGGCTGACACTGTCGAGAAAGTCCTCACTGCTGAAGCATCCTCATCCTCCGTAGAAGCACAAATCACCGGCGAGAAAGCTGAGCCCACGACAATAACGGAGAAGACAAACTGGGGCGATGTCGAGGATGACGACGAAGAGGAATCAGCCGCAGTCTCGGAACTCAATTCTTTGAGTATCAAAGAGGAAGAGAAACCTGAATCTATCCTTGACGAACCAGAAGACTCAAACATCCAAGCGGTAATCTAACTACTATCCTTGATTGTGTTGACTCCTCCCAATTGAGCTTAGATCTGAGTTTTACTGGAAAAGTTTAGGTTTTTCTTGGTGGGTTTGATGCAAAAGTAGTTCTTGGATGATCCCAACATCAATTTAGGATGAGTTTGATTTTGAGTTATTCTTTGTAGGTTACACACCGTATACATCAGCAAGTAGCTTAGATCCTGGTTTTACTGGAAAAGATTAGGTCTTTCTTGATGGGTTTGATGCAAAAGTAAGGATGATTTTAACATCAATTTAGGATGATTTTGATATTGAGTCATTCTTTTTAGGTACACACCGTATACATCAGCGAGTAGCTTAGATCCTGGTTTTACTGGAAAAGTTTTAGATTTGTCTTGATGGGTTTGATGCAAAAGTAGTTTTAGAATGATTTAAACATCAATTTAGGATGAGTTTGATTTTGAGTCATTCTTTCTTTGTTGTAGGTTACGTCTGGTGACACACCGTATACATCAGCGAGTAGGTTTGAAGATTTGAACTTGTCACCTGAGTTGATGAAAGGTTTGTACGTGGAGATGAAGTTCGAGAAACCTAGCAAGATCCAAGCCATCAGTTTGCCTATGATCATCACACCGCCTCACAAGCATCTCATTGCTCAGGCGCATAATGGATCTGGCAAGACTACCTGTTTTGTTCTTGGGATGTTGAGTCGTGTTGACCCCAATCTGAGACAGCCTCAAGCTCTTTGCATTTGTCCCACCAGAGAATTAGCAAACCAGGTTTGTTTAGTTTGGTTTAATTACTCTACTAGTTAATGATCCGAGAACAAAAAAAAGTAATAAGAGACTTGTGTATGGTTGTTTAAATGAATGCAGAACATGGAAGTTCTTCAGAAGATGGGGAAGTTTACTGGGATCACTGCTGAAGTTGCTGTTCCTGAGTCAAACCACGGCGTAACTACTGCAAGAAGAGCACCTGTTTCTGCCCAAGTTGTGATTGGCACCCCTGGGACACTTAAAAAGTGGATTGCGTTTAAGAAACTAGGTCTGAATCATTTGAAGATTTTGGTTTTTGATGAGGCTGACCATATGCTTGCCACGGTATGCTCTTTATTTTGTGTTTACTTAGCCGTATTACTTTCTCTGTATAATGTAACCATAGTTTCCTCTGCATATGTTGATATTTGATATTTCATTGTTGTTGCAGGATGGCTTTAGGGATGATTCCTTGAGGATAATGAAAGACATTGAGAGAGTTAATCCCAATTACCAGGTATGTTTAACTGGTTTTTGATGTAGTCATGACTCGTGAATTCTCAGTAGGATGACTATTGATTTCTAGTGGCTGTATCTAGCATTACATCTAGGGTGTGAAAGATAGTCTACTTGACGCTCTTAGTGAATCTGTGTTTCTTATGAATCTGTGCTCAGTGTTCACTGTTAGGAAGCTGTACTGGGTTATTTCATAGTCTACAAATTCTTTTGCTTTTTTTTTTATTTTCTTGTGATAAAACTGATTACATGATTGTGTTCTTGACCTTTTTTACAGGTTCTTCTATTCTCAGCAACATTTAACGAAACCGTCAAAGATTTCGTTCAAAGGACAGTCAAGAGTCCCAACCAACTCTATGTCAAAAAAGAGGATCTAGCGTTAGACTCTGTGAAACAATACAAAGTGGTTTGTCCAAAGGAGCAAGACAAGATTGAAGTCATCAAGGATCAGATCATGGAGCTCGGGGATATCGGCCAGACAATAATATTCGTGAGAACAAAGGTGTCAGCAAGCAAAGTGCACAAAGCCCTTGCGGAAATGGGGTATGACGTCACGAGTGTTCACGGTAATATGTCTCAAGAAGACAGAGACAAGATAGTGAAGGAGTTCAAGGACTGCTTAACTCAAGTCCTCATTGCAACCGATGTCCTTGCAAGAGGCTTTGACCAGCAACGGGTAATATATTCTTGATCCTTTCATCTTATTTTTCCCCTAAAGTGATTCTTAGTTAATGTCTCTTGTTCGGTTATGTAGGTGAATTTGGTTGTGAATTATAATATGCCTACTAAATATGAAACCGGGGAGCCAGATTATGAGGTTTACCTTCACAGAGTTGGAAGAGCTGGCCGGTTTGGTCGTAAAGGTGAGCGTTGATTCTTACTTTTCTGTTTGTCAGACTCAGAATGCTGCCATCAAGTTGGACATTGATAATCATCAGTTTATTGACTGTGTATTTGTATGGCAGGGGCTGTGTTCAACCTCCTCCTTGAAAATGGGAACGATAGAGAGGTGATGGAGAAGATAGAGCACTACTTTGGAGCGCAAGTTAAGGAGATCAAGTCTTGGAACTCAGAGGAAGAGTACAAGAGCGCACTCAAGGAAGCTGGTCTGCTTGATGAGTAAAAGAACGCACAGATGAAGACAGAAGTTGTTTGAAAAACGTGCTTTTTGTTGTCTGAGGTTGCTGTTGTAATTTCATTTATAGCTTTGTTTTATTCACGAAACACACACAAAATTTGTTTCAATGTCAATCATATGAACTTAATAAGCAAAATCAGTTCTTTTACAACATCAAATGAGTCATAGGACATACAAAAAAAAAAAGACTTTGGTTATGAATCCAGTTCAATGTTCAAAAGATTTTCGTAGTTTCAACCAATGGTTGAGGTTTTAGCAGCAAGGTGAATCAATGCTCGCTTATGATATGTGGTACGTAGCTTCTTGTATTTCTGAACAAAAGCTGCCGTATCAATCTCCTTCTCTAGGAACTTCTCTTGAAGAGCTTCAGATTCTTCATCCACCTGATTCATAGCCTCTGCAAAAACCCCTTGTTGTTTAGAAGTGATTACTTATGAAGTATATTGCACTTGTATAAAGTCTACCTTGAAGTTTATTCAGAATAGAACCAGGGGAGTAGAACTTGAGGATCTCTTCTTTTTGTCTTTCCAACTCATTAAGCTTTTCCTGCGCAGCTGCAAGCTCAGACGTACGGATAATTTTGCACTGTAAACGAGTAACACAAGGTTCTTAAGAAGAGATATCTTGTTACACAATGTGAACTGAAACAAGGAAGTATGGTTGTTGATAACTCACTTGGTTTCTGAGCTCCGTTATCTGTGGCTCTTTCTCTAAGTTCTCTCCTGTTTACATTTTTGGTACCATGACAATGTTAGGTTTCTAGATGATACAGAAGTCTCTTGCCAAATGACACAAACAAAAGAGAACTTACTAGCTAGCTGCAATGTTTCTCTGCGGAGCTCATCTTTGATCTTGTGGACAGAAACCAAAACAATGAGCACCAGTGAATAATCTAAATACATAACTAATGAAGACAATCGCCTTTCTCAAGAAACAATTAGAGTGTTCTTTAAAGACTTACATTGTTCTGAATTTTGACCTGATCAAGAGAGAGCAGAAACTGCTGATACGCATCTTTGTCAGAGAGAAGCTTCCTGAGCTCATCCACACTGCATCAAAAGTATACAAAGATTCAAAAATAAAGCATACAAAAACGACAACACATGAGAGAAGCATACAAATAGTGACCAAACCTTTTGTCTTTCAAGAAGGTAATAATGCCAGCTGCTTCCCCTGGTGAAACATGTGCTGGAATCTGACCAGATGTTTGAGGCCGTGATGAGGAGCTTGGCGAGCTGACTAGAGAAGGAGAGTACCATGGCTGCTGCTGCTGCGAAGAAACTTCCGGAGAAGGACGAGATTGCCCTTGTTGATCTTTTGATCCCCTTTGATGTAATAAACCAGAAAGTACTAACCATATCAAAATTTAAACTTGAAAGAAGCTTTAAATGGGCACAACTACAATAACACAATACATCTTCTCTTCAGATGCAGAAACATCAAACTAGAAACAAGGCACAAAAGTAACAAGACTACAATATATACTACAACATTCCAAATCTAATCTCAGCAACACACTCCTTAATTCAACACATTCCTATGTTAATTACAGCTCAGATTTTTAATAAGAAACTGAACATAACTTACACAACAACCAGATTTGCTTAATCAACGAACAAACTTAATGTCCTGAACACACGTTATGTGATTATTGTATCAAGATAATCTTGAACGCATACGAAACAGCAGCTAGCAACAGAAGTCTCCAACAATCACGGAAACACAAAAATAAGATTTGGGTATTACCAGAAATTAAACATCGTGTTTATAGAATTCGGCGAATTACGACAAGAAGCTTGTGTCTTGTCGGAAACAAAATTTGCCCTTTTACAGGATCGACCAAATTAAAGAACTTTCTATAAGATCGAAGACTTGGGAACTTTGGTTAGAAAGCGTGTTTGTCGACGAAACTTTGTACTTTTTGTATTTCAGTTCCTAAGACGATTTGGTGTTAGTTTTCCTTGACGGGCCGAATTGTTCTGAAGGCCCAACTAAGAACGATTTAAGGCCCATGTTTAGTGTTTATTTGGTTTTTACTTGAACAAATTAGGATTAATCGATTTGTACTTCTCATTCTTAGGCATGGTCCATGCTAATCTTCTCTACATGGTTTCAATTTATTGGATGTATATGAAAGGATTTTATCATTGATTCTTTCTCAAACTCAAATGATTATTCAGAGTTTATGTTTTGTTTGGAATATTGCTTTCAGTTTCTCAAATAATTGGTTTATTTTAGTTATTGCAAGGATTGAATATGATGATATTTCAATATGTTTTTGTTTTGTCATTGCTACCATCATGATTCATTGTTTCTGAATGCTGATGGACTTTGTTGCAATCTGTTTGTAATATATTACTACTATTTAATCCTAAATTGAAGAGATCAAATGAAATGGAAATGATATGTAATTGTGTAAATATTCATATGTAAACCTTTTTAGTTTTTTTCTTTGTTAACAAAAGATACAACATCTCCCAGTCAATAGATCTTTTGATCGAAAATGTCTTTAGTTTGAACAAAGACTGCACAATGGTATATGTGATTAGAATCATGACATCTATGGAGTCATCAACATCGCGAAGATGGCGAGAAACTAGCGGTATCGAATAGAACAATTTTCTTTTGTAGCCTTCCAAGAGACCTTAGACTGAATTTCAAACGTTATCTTCATAACAATCTGTTACAGTAGTTTGTTTTCCTGTTAAAATAGGTTAGTTCCAACTTTTTGATTATATATCTCTGTTTGTCTACATAAGGTCGTTTTTGGAGATATTCTAAAAATAACATGTTTTCTATCACGTTTTTAATTTATACCTGACATTGAATCTTGCAAATGGACCATCTGACAGTGTCTTTTTATGGCTTGAAACCTACCAATCATTCAAGTCGAGCATTGATTTGTTATCCACTCTCCATACTCCTTACAGAATCATTAGGTATTAGGATCGGATTGTGAACTTGCATGTTAGAAATAGATTAGTCTTTGTTTACTTATATGATAAAACAATTGGTTTATCAGAATTTGTGCTAATTTGCATTCTAGGTGGTGATGCTGGTCATGATGGGTTTTTCTATTCATTTTTTTTTCGTTCTTAGAAAGGTCACAAGATTCACAACGATATTGTGTTGAACAAATATTTCTATATCAAATATAGAAGTCGAGAGTTATTTACCGTGTTAATCAGTTAAAGGTCGTTTAATAATTGGTTTATATTATTCATTGCAAGGATTGTAGAGGAGCCAAAGGTAAGCCAAAAATCATGTCGAAGATGTTTTCATCTATTTTATTTTTGTATTTGCCACCATCATGATTCATTGTTGTTGATGGACTTTGTTACAATTTCTTTTTACTATATTATTACTATTGAATCCAAATTGAAGGGTTAGAATGAAAATTATGAAATGGAGAATGATGTGTAGTTGTGTAAATATTTGTACGTAATCCTCTTTAGTTTTTTTTTATTAAACAAAATATACAACACCTCCGATCAATAGATCGTGTTACAAAAATTAAGAATGTTAATTATTATAACATTTCTAACCTAATTCACCCCAAAAAATGAATTTATACTAATTAATATCATCTCCTCATACAAATTCATGTGAACACTTTAGGATATCATTTACCTTTATATCACATTAGTTAGTGGTCTCAGTCATTCACGTACCAAACAGAAAAAAAAAATGGAAGATGAAAGCTCCGAGAGTAGAAACAAAGCTCGCCTCGCCATCATGGAGCTCGCTAACATGATCAGCGTTCCAATGTCTCTCAACGCCGCCGTTAGGTTACGCATCACCGACGCTATATGGAACAACGGATCCAACTCTCCTCTCTCCGCCGCTCAGATCCTCCCTCTCGTCCTTCTCCCGTCCAAAAACGGTACCATCGGTGGCGATCCAGAGAATCTCCAGCGTATACTTCGTATGCTCACAAGCTACGGTGTCTTCTCCGAACACCTCACTGACGCCGGCAGGAAGTACTCTCTCACCGACGTCGGGAAAACGCTCGTCACTGACTCAGGCGGTCTCTCCTACGCCGCTTACGTCCTCCAACACCACCAGGTTTCACAAACCGTTTTTTATTTTATTTTTCATATTCTCAAGCCGGCTGGAAATTTTAGGGACTATAAACAATTTATTAAAGACTTTAACAAAAATAATTTTTATATAATTTTTTGGACTTATGTTTATGTAAATCACTTTGTAAAATTTGGAGATATAAACTAATGTTTTTTTTTATATAAACTAATGTTTCACTTGTCTTGGCTTTGTTCTTAATTTAATATTTTACGAATTACGAAAATGATGACGTTTATGACGTTTACAGGAGGCGTTGATGCGAGCATGGCCACTTGTTCACACGGCGGTGGTGGAGCCGGAGACTGAACCGTACGTGAAAGCAAACGGCGAGGCTGCATACGCGCAGTATGGAAAATCCGAGGAGATGAATGGTCTAATGCAAAAGGCCATGTCCGGCGTTTCTGTGCCGTTCATGAAAGCGATAATGGACGGCTACGATGGGTTTAAGTACGTGGAGCATTTGGTTGACGTAGGAGGGAGCGCAGGGGATTGTCTACGTATGATCATTAAGCAGTTCCCTAACGTCCGTCAAGGGATTAACTTTGATTTGCCTGAAGTTGTTGCCAAAGCTCCCAAGATACCAGGTCAGAATAAAATATTTGGTTTTATTTTCATCAAGATTTATCTATTTATGGAAAGTTTTATGATATTTTTAGTTCTTTGATAGTAACTATTGTTGGTGTTGTGTGAGTAAATTAGGAGTGACTCACATGGGTGGGGATATGTTCCAATCAGTTCCTAGTGGTGACGCAATCTTCATGAAGGTTTGTGTTAACATTGTTGTAACTTTCACGTGAATACTAAACTTTTGTTAGTTGGACGTATATTAATAATTCATATGTTTTGTTTTGTAGTTTATTTATAGCTGCTCACGAAATATCTTAGTCTAAGTAGGTATTTATAAGTTGATTGGTGCGGATAAATTGTTGTTTCTATCGATATAGGTGTAGATCATGTGACTGGTCTATTATTTATTGAAGATATTTTTCATTACTTCCATATCTATCCATATCTTCATATACACTTTATCCAATGTTTATTTGGGTTGGTTTAATTGGTGGAGATGAATCACATACATTCGCCATTACTGTATACATATCTCATATATAGTCATATTGGTATACAAGTCCAATTATTTAATCCATGTGCTAATACATCTTCTCTTTTGATTAGAACCATGAATAGGATCTAACGTTTATAGATGGAACAACACAGATAACACCCATTAATCAGCTTGTACTTAATGATGTGTTTTTTTGTATGCACAGTGGTGTTAACAACATGGACGGACGAAGAATGCAAGCAGATAATGAAGAATTGTTACAAAGCGTTACCGGTTGGAGGTAAACTAATTGCGTGTGAGCCGGTTTTGCCTAAGGAAACTGATGATAGCCACCGTACTCGTGCCTTGTTGGAAGGCGACATCTTTGTTATGACAATCTATAGGACCAAAGGTAAGCATAGAACTGAAGAAGAGTTTAAAGAGCTTGGTCTCTCTGCTGGATTCTCTACTTTTCGACCTTTCTACATCGATTACTTCTACACCATCTTAGAGTTTCAGAAGTAATATTATAAAGCAGTTATCTTTCTTGCATATCTAAAAGCTTCGAAATTGTCATAGACCTCTTTGTTAATCTCTAATAAATACATTTTCATCAATACGTATTAATCTAATGGTGTATATCTTACTGGCATCCTCAGGGGCATTGTTCATGAGAAAATCAAAAGATAATTTAAGTTATGATTCAAAGAACCTTTTTTTAAACATTAGAGCATCTCTATTAGTGAACCCCCTTATGGGGTTCATAGAGATTTTTTATTAATTTTTTGGTGGGGTCGTGAACAGTGATAAACCCGTCTCAATTATGCGCCTCCATTAGTGAACCCGAATTCCGGGTTCTTAGGAATAAAATATAATTAAAAAAAAAAAAAAAAATTCAATACAAAGAGAATATTTTTAAAACATGGTTATAAAATAATTTTATAAGGTTTTATTGAATAGATTGAGAATACAATAATGTTTAAAACATTTTATTGAATACATAGGGAAATTGAAAACATACAACCATTATTAATTTTGATTACCGAATTTTGCCCATACATTTTCAACTAAATCAGCTT